CTTTTCTGTTCAGTGTAAGACCCTTATCCACCTACATGCCAGAATACATTGATAGCTCAAACATAAGTCCATCTATCTTGTGTGAAATGTCAGTTCAGAATTCTATACCAAATCTTTCCAACAACATGTGCAGGCTAATTTATACCTTTTCACAAGTGTTCTTCATTGACAATGCAGTGAGCATGCATGGGCTACTGGATGACAAGTGATAAGATACATAATGCCTGGAGCCTAAGAATTAGTTTTTTCATGTGGACCAATATTGACTACTGTTTCCACGACACCATGATCCACCCATGAAGGGTGGTAAGGCAGTTGAATATGTGGGAGTAGTTGACTTCGTCAAGTCTTACAGAAAAGAAATAATACAAACCACAAAATGAAAAGATGAATAAAGGAGAAAAAGAAGAATAAATAAACTTAGATAATAATAATTGCACACATCCACACGCATAGTTAAAGACACTCTTTGGGTAGGATCTTCCCTCATCTCAGGAATTTTGTATCTGGTGTGGGTGAAAGCACTGGCATGTCCCCATGAGAAGGGCAGGGTGCTAGTGTAGGTTTGGGGCACGCTGGAGGAGCTAGCAGCCCAAGGCTAGTGTAACAGGCAGCAGAAGAGTGATAGTCATGGCAACAAGTGGGTGACTGGAAAGAGCACAGGCAACTCGTGGGTGGATTTTCCCTTTCTTCCCCTTTTTCTGCCCACTCCCTGTGATGTGGAGCCTTTGTGTTGCCCAGCTGTTATGTTGTTCTCCAAGATTGCTGGTGATCTGTTTTTTGTTTCTGATGTTTTCTCCTGATTGCGGTAGAGGGATTTTCTAAGCAACCAGCTTGAACCAGATCAGAGACAATCTCTTTCTTTGCCATTCCCATTGCCATGAGCCTCATCTCCTCATACCTTATACCTTGGGATATGGCTCTAGTTCTAATCTCTCTCATAAATGTTTGTAGACCAAATGACTTGATTATCATTTTTTAAATCGTTTTAGTGGGTGCTCATACAACTCTTATCACAATCCATACATACATCAATTGTGTAAAGCACATTTGTACTTTCATTGCCCT